ATATTTAAAAAAGTATAATAAAGAAAAACTAAAACTAATTTTTTTATACGTTAATACTTTGCACTATTTTAATAAATGCATACTAAAATACTGCGAACGTGCACCTATTTGAAAATGTTTAATTTGTTTTCTAAGTTATGTTAGTTTATTATAATATGCCACAATATTTAATTATATGTCAAACTGTGTAACTTGCAACCCATTTAAATCTCAATATTTAAATTTGTTGCAAGTTCTAGCTTCAATTAGTTTTCCAAAACTTTCCAAAAATAAACATATCGTTAAATACTTATTATTTTTATCTATAACTATAGTAAAATTACTATTTGTTTCATTTATTTTTATTTACATTGATATAATATACACACACGCTACGAATAGTATATATAAATAACAAATAAACGTTAGTATGTAATTTTTAAGTCGTATATATAAAGGTCGAAGAATCACAAGCAGTTCATTGTAAAATCTACTTAATTAAAAAATGATGCTGATTTTACTTTGAAAATGAGAATTTTCTCTAAATTTACATGTAGAATACGGTTTCACTTCCATACATAAAGATTTTAACACTGGTATTCGTTTCAGTGGGATTAATCGGAACGGGGATCGACTGCTTTGCCTCCTACTGCCTCAGTAAGCAAGGGAAGATGGGCATTAACGTTGGCGGTTACAGGTTCAGGTTCAATGGTTGCGCAAGAAATGGCAAGATACGCTGGCGATGCTCTAGAGGTCCCTGGTGTAAAGCCGCGCTCCACACCTACCGAGGCAGGATCGTATACATACAAAGTACACATAATTGTGGACCCAAACCACCAGTCGTTTAAGAAATTAATAAAAATGTTGCTCGTCTGATCATAAACCCTTTTCCTGTCCCAAGAATCGTATATGAGCGCTTCAATTGTTTAACTATTGTGTCTTTTTCGCGGGCAGGGAACTGTTAATGATAAAATGTAATATTTAACATCCGTTTTAATTCCAAAAATGTGAAAAGACAATGGTATTTCGGTTTATTCTTTTTTTTTTTAATAACGCCTCTAACCTTTTCCCTCTTAAGCCACTTATTTAGAATGTTTTTTTCTTAAATAACTCTCAGCGTAGTAATAAATTACTGGACATTTTACATAAATTCTATATTTTGTTGGTTTCTGAGTGTAATAATATATTATTTATCAAATGCAAAGAATTTAACAATCACTATTGGAAAAGGGTTTGATATATTAATTGTCGGATAAAAGTGAAACAATAATACATTTTGTACATACAATTGTAGTATTTAATGTGTTTATATTATATTTATCCTTTGCATAACTTTTATTTGACGATTGAAATACCTTACCTTAGAATATAAAATGGAATAGTACAAAACGAGTGGTAACAAAATAGAATTAAGTTTGTAAATACATTGTAACACTTCAAAAATGATTGTATATAAGTGATAACCTGATAAGAAACAGATACAGGAACAAAAGAATCTTGAAAGTTTTTGAGCCAACGATATGAAAATCGCCGTCCCCAAAGTGGCAACCCTATTGACTATGTCGAAAAATAAATATTGAAAAATTACCTCATAGATGTATGAATTTACGTTCAAATTGCCAGTGTATATAATAATGAGCTTTAAATATGGCTATGCGCTCATTACTTTATTGGAAGTGTTTTAATTTTATACTAAAAATATGTGAACAATAAACTTTTAATAAAAAGTATAACATTGAAAAAAATTGTAATTCATCTAAGATTTGTTTTTAATTTGCGTTCTATGCGAGTAGGCTTTTTTTAATTAAATGAGCGCAACTGGAAACTAGGATCAAATACAGGGTCAGTAGACACTTTTAAGCAATTGCTGAATTCATTGTAATAAATAAAAGGCAAATATTATGATGTTTAGATGTTTATATTTGTATGCTATTTATTTTATTAATAGTATTAGTGCTAGTATTATGGTTATTAAGGAGATTTGTTGTGGTATTTATATAGATATAGCAATTTAATATTTAATATAAGGGTAAATATATTGCATCGCAATTTAAAATTGAATACTACATACCGTTTTAAACATATTTACACGTGACCGAATATATATGCATTTAAAAGTATAACACTTCTTCAAATTAAAATTTAAAATACATTAATACTGAACATTTTTGTAGAAACGTTTCAATGATTAATAATATATAGGTTTATCACAGGTTATAAAAAATAATTAATGTTAATAAGTGCCAACAAAGTGGTTAGTGTACTGACTTTTACATTGAGTTAGATGAGACCAAAACAAAAATTATCATAGCATTTCAATCATCTGTAAGCTAAAGATCTTAAAATTAACTTAGCTTACTATACAAATGTGTAAATTAACTTAGCATACTGATAAAATACTCATGTATTCTAAATTAATTTATAATAATTTAAAATAAAATATGATATTACTTAATATAATTGAATACAGTTCAAGTTAACTGTCAAACAGTAATAAGAAAAATAAAGATCGTGATATTAAGTATGTATACTTACAAAAAGTATTACAAATATTAACCTAACTCCTCGATAGATGTAGACAATGTTAATGTAACATGGAATTAAATAATAATTTTAAAAAGGAAACAAAATCTCATACTTCAATTTTCTTTCTAGTTTTAATGAATGGTTATAAAACCAATGAACAAGTTTGTGTTTATCAATTACTAAGGCTTTTAACTACTAAGCGCTGCGCATATTTTAAGTGACGCCGAAACTATGCTCATCTTACTGTAAGAACACGCATTTACGCTCTCCCATATGCATCTAAAACAATTTGCAACCATAAACATGGTTGTAGGTGCATACGTGTGCGTCCTGCAGTGGATTTTGTAGGCTGTTAATAAAAGAAGAAAGATGTGTGCGTGAGTTGAGTGAAGACGTTGAGCATGGTTTCAGAGACTCTTGAAATATTAACAGCTCTCCGCAACTTAATATATTATAATATATAAAAATATAGCACCGCTGATTGGAACCATTCTACCTCTCTTATTACAGAATAAGCCAATTTCATAAAATTATCTTTAAATATTAAATATAAGTCAGATTTGAAAAATTCTGTGTTGCAACTTCAAAATATATCAAGCATTAACATTAAACATATCAGTTGTTTGTACCAGCAAGTATTTTTATTCATAGAAAATGTGTGTACTAAAGATGATAATTATATCTATATAATTCACTGTAACAGCTACTAAACCCTGGATGAATCTTGTACATGGTTGTGTATATGTAAATTAAGTTACCTGTATCATGGTAGTGATGAATGTTATTTGCCAAATTACAATAAGGGAAATAAGATTTTATCTTTTGATGTGTAATTTGATGTTTGTAAATGAATAAAGCTAGTCATAACTGTTTCTTTTTGTTTTATTTTATACAAAATTAGAGACATTTACAGTAATATATTTTATAACGAACAGAAATTCAGGTATTGAATGAGTCAGTCACATCGATCTTGGTTTGCGAACTAGCTAAGATACTCTCGACAATTTTTTTTAATAAAGAGAAAAAATCTTAATCATTTTTATTTTGATAAAGACAGAGAGAGAGAGAGAAAGTTGACTTTTTTATTGCAAAAATTACGATGGCCACCTGAGCAAATTTAGACGGTTTGACGTTCAATTCTCTCTGAAAAATCTAAAATTTGTCATCATCGATGTAGATTATAGTGCTATAAGTATGATCACAAACAAGAAACACTCATCCGTCCAAATTGTTTCAGTGTTTCCCTTCCATTGGGACGGAATTAAACACAATGTATACAAACAGACCCGAAATACAAATATTACCTGCTTTTATTTGAACCAAGGACAATCGGTATAGCAAACTACCACTAAAATATGCAATCATTGCCAATTTGGATAAAAGTAACTGTTTTGTTTCTAATCTAATGTTAAGATATCAAGCGATATGGAAAAAACTATTTAACAAACACCAGATTTCTAAGAGACACAAAAAAATTGTCAATTCATTATTTTAACAAATAAAAATTCCGAATCGAATAAAGTTGTGCATCGTTATTTCATCAAATAACGATACTAGAAATAAACTGAACTTGTAAAATGATATCATTTACGACATAATTTTACAAGTTCACTATCAGCACAGCTTATCTAAGTCCACTGTTGCAAAGAGCCCTTCCCCCCATAGACTACCTACGTGATTATATATGCCACAGCTGTCGCGTTACGGTTAGCAACTGCATCCTTTTGAGTTGCTTTCAGAAATATGGTACTGCGGTCTCTGTGGCCTCTTGACACCCACGGGATGATATGGGGTAGAGGATTCTCTCGCATCTCGGATTCTCTCTCCAGTACACGGCGACCTAGGTATTAGTCAATATAACTTCAAAATGGTACCTATAACCTTCGTCATATGAAGAGAGCGTGATAAGCTCTCACTGTGGCTCGAGCTGACGGCATCTTAAAAATCAACCTTATGGAGATCACAAATTACCATCCTCATGAAGCAGTCGGATAAAGGACAGAATTGATAGATTACTCTCACCCTCAGGACTTTCTAAATAAAACAAACAGAAATAAAAACATTCCAGTGCTTAAGTTTATTGATAATTAAGAAAATATATCTACAACATTCATACCTATCTATATATTGGGCAAAGAAGAATATAGTTTGTTTAGTTAAACATATCTTATAATAATTAAAAATTAAAATGATGTATTAAGATATCTCAAAATGAAGTATTAACACAATTTAGATGATTTGTATTCATAAAATGCGCCCAAAGAAACGTAAAAGTGGATGGTAGTCTAATTATTTGTTGATAGTATTGCTTCGTGAGCTTTATTTGTGATGCTTTAAAAACTAAATCCAATAGCGATAGAGATCAAGGAAACAATTATAATAGATAAATTAAAATGCAGTTGAAATCTGCACTGCCCGGTGATACCTAAACCAAAACCGAATAATAAAGACAACTTCAAAACTTATTTTGTCTTATTCATAGGCAGAAATTTCCATCAGTTGATCTGGTCTGCCTCGTAATCTGTGCCGGTTATAATTTGATCGCCCGATATTACTCCATGCTCTGCCTTGAGATGCTGCAATATGCATGTAATGCTTCTTTCGATCTCTTCGAACTTCATGCACTTGTATTGACATATTCTACACGAATAGAAGTCATCCTCGATGCTCTCGAAGACTTTCCATACCCAGCCGTTGTCGTCTGCGAAAAAACGTGGAGAATATACAACATGTAATAAAACGCCATGTCCGATCCGAAAGGGGCATGACATTACTTACCAAAAAAATTAAAGAACTATCAAGAAATTTTTACTTTTGGCAACACAGTATCTTAGAACATGTGGCCATATAACCCGACGATTGCTGCATTGCCGTATAAGATTTCACATTTAATCAAGCTTTAGTTTTTGTGGGGTTATTTAGATTTGTGTAAAGAGCGCTTCCTTTATATACTTAATTATATTATCCCTGCTAAATTTTTTGCTAAGGAACACTTTCGAGAAATTATTTTCTTTTTATATACTATGATGCACACTCAGTAAATCAATACAGAACATTTAACATTGAAAATATTGAGCAATATTTTTAGAACAGCCTTCTTTTATATAGAATAAGTGTATCAAACAAGCGCACATTCCACCTGATGTTAAGTGGATGCTGTGGCTTATAGATATCTACATTTACCCCTGATTAAGAATAAAAATGTAGATACATTGTCAGTTGTCACCTCTGAGGATGAATTGAGATGGAATATCTCGTTTCCAGTAAACAGGTCTCCGATTCTCTACACTCACCACACGAAAAACATCAGCATTAAGCTGCTATTCTACGTTGGTATTTTGTGAAAGCGTCTATTCCGCTCGATCCGACCTATGCATGCTACAACCATAATGTAGCTACATCGTGGCTCTACCGCGTAAGTACAACTTGATGTTTATACTTCACATTGATTAAAACTACTTTTACGGATTTTGTCGAGCGCCGAAATTTCGAGGTTGTTTCGTTACGTACACGAATGCACATAAAACGCACGGCCGTATGTACGAAACAGGCACATCGTGATTTTTATTTTATTGCTTTAGTCATAATGATATATTGACGAATTTTAATAACTTCATTTGTCTCATAAACTGCACTAGGAGAATGTAAGTTCGAGGAATAAAATAAGCATCAATATAAATAGTAATTGACTGGAAAGTGCAAAATAAGAATATACTGTTAATACTGTCCTCTACTAGCCATCGGCGCAGGACAATATAATAGTGTCCAAGTGTGCGCCATGCGCAAGCACAGGTGCACTCTCTGTTCCCTCACTTTCATAATCCGATGAGAAGGTAAACCGACACGACTGGAGAGAGATCAGGCGCAGGACCACTGGCTTTACGAGCTTTCCGGGGCACGGGTGTGAGACACCGCCACCTTCCTGACTCCGGCCAGCTACTGAGAATATCTTGACGGAAAAACTCAATAATCGATTTTTTTGCCCGACACGAGATTCGAACCCAGGACCTCATAATCAGCAGTCGCCCTACTACAACCACTAGACCAACGAGGCAGTAATAACCACTAATATGGAATGCTTATTTGCCAATAATTGTCCTTGTCGACCCTTATTATAATAACTAAATAAAATTATGAGGGTAATTTTGTTTCGATGACGTATCAAGTATTAGGTTTGAGTCATTACATTATGTTTCACCAGATAAAGTCATAAGAAGATATTATCATTGTAAAAATACCTTTTTTTCCTTTATTGATCGTAGATAATCTACAGTAATCATAGAGTAGTAGTCATAGATAATCTATAGATATCAATAAAATTGAAGTGTCCATATTAAAATAGCTAGCTTCCATTAAACTCAGGGGGTTATTCGCATGCTATTTATATATAACCATTTATATAACATAAATAACCATTTTTGAAATATTTGTTTGTCTGTTAGTCAGTTGTCAGTTAATCTTCGGAATGATTATGATGAAATTTTATGAACCGATAGAGTGAATAGAAGGCAATTCCAGGGGGGATTTTTTGAGAAATCGAATAAAACAAAGTTAAATTTAACTAACGTCACATTTAGAGTATGCTAAAAAGAGATAAGGGTATCCCAGGTGAAGCCGGGGCGAGTCGCTCACTGATAGTCTTAATTGTGTAAACTAGAAAATCTTATGGAACGAACTTTATTCAAATGAAGGGGACCAATCAGACCATATTTTAAATAAGCAGCTATAAGTAAGGAAAAAAGGTAGCGAAAGAATATAAAATGCATATTATGTATTTATATCAAGAATAACGGACGGACTTTCTGTTAATTGTTTTCTATCGTCATCATCAGCCCGTAACATTGACTGAACCTGAGCTTCTTCCATTGGGAGCACTTACTTTAATCGCCATGATTTCTTTTTGCTAATCGACATGGATGGATGATCGCTATATCAGATTCCCATATTAAGTTTAAGTAAATTTTACATCTGAATATAAAATTGCACGCATATACGTTTCACTGTGCAAAAAAAGAAGCCAATAGCGATACGCCAGGAATTCGACATTACTGGCTGACACTATGCTTGAGTGATCGTCTCGCCTTAAGAATCTATTTTTTTACGGATGAAGAATCATTTTTATTTAAACAGGCATGTCAACAAGCATAGTTTCTCCCAGACTTTTAATTGTTCCAATATCGACATATAGGAACAATAAAAAGCTAGTCAGAAATACCAAAAGCTAGTTAATTCAGCCAAAACGACTGTATAGGTTGCCATTTTTGTAAAGGGCATAACTACTAACTAAGGGTTTTTACAAAAAAAAAGTAAATACGGTTTCCGTTTTTTATTCGATATAAATATATAAATTTTGATAAACGTTTGCAACGCCATCTGTGTCCATATTTCTATATCTTGATGACGCTGACGCGAGATAATAAAATTTTAGAAATTAATTAGGATATTAGACAATGTTCACAGTGAAAGGAAAGCAGATTACTATATTTTACAAATGTAATTGATGTATTATAGACATTCCTTTTGTTTTCTTTTTAATTACATTAATAGATGGCGCCAATGTTTTTTAGCAATAGAGACAATTTAGTTGATAAAAATCAATCAAAAGTTGAAAAAATTTAAATAGACACATATTTAAAATAAGAGTGACCTCCTAGTAGTGTTGCTAGAAATGACATATAGATCTGAGACGTGGTCCTTCACTGGTGTATGAGGAAGCTTAAGACACTATACAGAGGGCTATGCTCTCAGTTTCTCTGCACGATAGATTTTGTAATGAGGATATCCGCAGTAGAGCCACAGCAACTACAAGTAGACTTCAAAAGTAGGATATCCGTAGTTTCTACTACCACAGAAATCATCATAGCCCCACTGATCAGTAAGCTAAAGTGCCAATAGGCTGGCTATATAGCTTGAATAACTGACAACTGATGCAAAAGAAAGGTTCTCGAAAAGCAACCTTGTACTATGCATGTAATATGCTATATATGATGATTTTAGAAAAAAAGAAAAACTAACATGTTTATTCATTGCTATTAAACTGAAACGTACAATGTGGACTGGTAGAGCCATGCTGCGTCTATATTATGGTTGTAGCACAAATGGGTCAGCTTGACTGGGGAAGGACCACGCTCTCACAGAATACCAGCGTAAAATAGCAGCTTAATACTGCTGTGTTTCGTATGGTGAGTGTAGATGCGGAAAACCTTTTTTACTGGAAACGACATTCCATCTTAGTCCTCATGGATGACAATGTATCTGCATTTTGATTCTTAATCAACGATAAATGTAAATGTCTATGGACCATAGCATCCATATTATATTACCATCAAGTGGACTGTGTGCTTGTTGCTCATCCTTATTCTATAAAAAAAATAACAATACTCTGTCTATTTTACGAATACAAAATTTTTTATAAAAACAGCCGCAATGATGACGACTTTTTTGTTGTCTATTTAAAAAGGTTTTTACAAAAAAAAGTAATTACGGTTTCCGTTCGATATAAATATATAAATTTTGATAAACGTTTGCAACGCCATCTGTGTACAATACAATAATATATAGTGGTGTACATACCTGCGGTTTTGTGGTGTACCATCTTAAGGTGCCGGTTCATATTCCCGGTGGCGTTGCCGCCGTGGCAGATGTTCCGGTTGCAGAGTTTGCATTGCGCCAGCGTACCAGAGATGCGATTGAAATACGACCAAATCCAACTGCGACGTTGCTTTTGACTTATGCACTCTGGAAAAGTTACACATATCATTATTAATTTACACGTACTTTTGATTTAATTTGGGTGTCTTCAAGGCAAGACTTAATAATTTTTTTACGCTAAGTCAGTGTGATTTACTATCTAGGACTACATCACTACTTAACATCAGGTGGGATTTAAGCATTGTCTTATAATTATTAAAAAATATGTTACATTCAAGAACCTTAAATGCATAGACGCTCTGTCACTTTATAAGTGATAGCCTATATGTTTTATTCATTATCAACCCGTGAAAATCTACTGTGCTTTTTTCAACCTACTTATGGTTATTTTAATGTCCTCCCGACCTAATATTGGTCACGGCGACCATTCTCAATGGAGACTAGCCATCTGCGCAGGACAGGGTTATAGTGCACAAGTGCATGCAAAAGCACAGGTGCACTCTCTATTCCCTCACTCTAATAGTCACCACCAGAGAGAGTTACATGCTTTCCGAGGCACGGGGGTGAAACATTTCTAAATTTCTGGTACTCCAAACAGAATGAGAATTTCGTAACAGAAAAACCTGCTAATTGATTTTGGTCTGACCTGATATTCGAACTCATCAGTAGTCGCGCTGAAGACCACAATACCAAGGAGGCAGTCATAAAATACTATACTCTATTTTTTATGACTGTTGTAATTACACATCTAAATACAAATCAAGGCGCCATGTGGTTGCAGCGAAGCATAATCTGACATCCCATTTTTGTCGTGGGCATCGTAAATGCCAGCTATGGGAATTATATACAAATTATCATATACTACAAAAAATCTTTTATGTCTTCCGATGAATGTCAGTGTAATTAATAAAATACCCAGACCGGCAACGCGACCTTGAATTGGCTTTGGAGCATCAACAGTCCAGAGCCAATCTATTTTACGGACTGCTATAGAAAGTCCGCTACTTATAAGCAAGACCCGTAACCAGTGGAATTTTATAGGCAGGTAATTTAATAATATGCAGATGGCTCTGGACATTGTTTTGTGGTAAATCTATAAGGAAACCAAAGTTTAGTAGTGGACTTGTGGTGAGACTAAAGATGATGGCGTGATTGTGGGTAGGTTGCAAAAATTCTTAATAGACACAAAAAATATACAATGAACTACACAAATTTTGATACCACAAATTTTCGTTTAAAAGAGAATCTAATCCAGATTATTTATTTAGCTTGTATGCATGAATATGATATAGGTAAACTCAATGCCTAAAGCATTATCTACCAATCAACCTTTGGATGATGCAGTAAATCAGTGATAATCTATTTTGAATTTATCTATCACTTTAATTTATGTATAAAAGTAATTAATATCAATGCAATCAAATTAATATTAAAAAAATATTATTATAAATATATATATTTAATATACATTATTATCATAAATATTTAATACATATAATACAATAAATATAAACATACATAATACTTAAGAGACATGGTATACAACCGTCATTTCAATTTTTTTCCTGTTTATTTTGCGTCTGGGGTAATATTGCTGTATTTTGTATGGTGAGTGTAGAGAACCGGAGCCCCTTTTTACTGGAAACGATAAATTCTATCTTAGTCCTCAGAGGTAACAAGACATTTTGATCCTTAATTGAGGATAGATGTAAATGTCTAAGTTCCACAGCACTCACTTATCATCAGGTGGACTGTCTGTCTCCTTAGTCAACAATATTCTATAAAACAATAAAACCAGGGAAGGGTAAAAGCGGGACACATCTGGTACTAATTGGCACCTTCCATGCGAAATGATTAAACCAAATTGTACATATGTAGAGCCAGCCACGCTGCAGTTTACACATTGTAGAATCATGCCTCAGCTATGCTCGGCTCGACAGGGAAGTGACCATGCTCCCACAGAATACCAGCATAAAATAGCAGCTTAATGTTGCTGTTTTTCATATGCATGTAGAAAGATTCGTATGTATGAGTGTAGAGAACTGGGGATCCTTTTCACTGGAAACAAAACATTCCATCGCTGTCGTCAGGAGTGACAACACATCAGAATTGTGGTTCTTAATAGAGGATAAATGTATATGTTTATGGGCTACAGCATCCACTTACAGTCAGGTAGACTGTAAGTGGATGCTGTGCTTTTTTAAATCTTGTAATGGAAAAGGCCTATGGGTTGGCTTTTACTGTTAAAGTCTGATAAAGAAAAATAAAAAAAATATTTACCATCTAAATCTGCATTAAACATTTAATTTAATAAAATCATTATAATGCTTATAAATTAAAAATGTACAAAATAAAACTTACCATACGATTCATCAAATTCCTTATCGCTTACTTTAATGTCTTCTGTCCCGATGCTGTAAGGAGCTTCAGTTTCACTCACAATATCTAAATGATCAGAGTCCTTCTTCCGTTCTATTTCAGATTTGTAAACACTAGGATGCCTAGTTCGGACATGTCGGTTCATATTGTTAGTGTTGCAACCTTTTATTGACAGAACAACACTGCAAAGGTTGCAGCGGTATATAATATTGCTAAGCTTGTTGAAATACTTCCACACCCAACTTCTCCTTCTGTTCTCTGCTGCTGAAACATTAATAAAATGCTCAACTGAATTAATATAGTCAAACAAGATGTTCTTTTAAAATGTTATTTATACATAAATCTATAATTTGTAACATGTTTATCAAATCATAATTCAATCAAGCAATTTTTTTATAAACATGTTTATCAAATCATATTTCAATCAAGTGCATTGCCTTTTTTGACTGACATTATAACACTAAACTTAAACCTAAGCTGTGTCGTTACTCTGAAGATGAAAATAAATTTAATGATACCTTGCACTTTAAAATGCGACAAGCCATTTAGGCTTCAGAAGCCTTCAAAGGAGAAACAAACATACATACATACATTCTTCCTATGCTATCTATACCCTGTTCCTGCCTAACTTCAAAAATGTAAACTATGTATTATATATTTCAATCCATTATAACCTATAAAAGTTCACTGCTGAACATAGATTGCCTCATAGGGGTGATTTTGCTTTAGTTGCCACACTTGGCATGCGGGTTGGCAACCGAAGGTTTTTATTATTCTGAGTCGTTATCAGGAGGATGCTACTGCCCATCTCCTCTTCCAGTTTCCCTCGCCTCTTACGACACCCACGGGACGATATGAGGTAGTGGACATTTAAACACCGCCACAACATGGATATAATTATATTTAACGCCTTAAAACTTAAACTTTTGATGAATAGTCAAAAATAACTTCAAATAATTAAAACAAATAAAATATATTGCACCTAATGACTTCTGAAATGAGGGCTTTTGAAATTGGGGCATTAGGTCTTAGCACCACCTAAGAATTATAATGACTGATATTTTTTTACTATGAGGAAATAATAGAGTGTAAAAGGTGATCGAAGAAGAATCCAATGGCATAGATATTTAACGTTTTTTAAAAGCAATCTTTTTAATTATGAAATTAAGAAAAACTATTAAATGAAATTCAAATCATGTACACCCTACTTTACTTTAAACGCCAATTAAAAACCAATAAATTTTGATGCCATAGACATATTTCGTCTATTACACCCAATTTTTTTTTCTAATGATATAAAGTCAGCCAGTATATAAAACCGACAACTGGAAATTATTTAACTATTATTAATTTTTTGAAGTCAGCATTTACTTTTTATTAAAATATACTTTTTGTTCCTTTTCAGTACACTTTAAGTATACACAAGTTCAACTAGAATGTTGTATAAGTAGTTACTTTAATAACTTTATTCCTTGTTTTTTCATGCTTAGGGTTAAATTATTTCAACAAATTTTTATGAGCCCATGAAGTTAAGATTAAATACTATTTAGAAAATCATCACTAAACCTACCTACCTACCTACATAAAAAAACATTACTTGAATTTCACCCTTATTCTATATAAAACTAGCTTGCCAGGCAGACGTTGTTCTGCCCTTTTCGACGACAATTTATCATGTCCTATTAAATATCCTTAAATTATCGTATGATATTTAAAAAACTATCCTATCCTATCTCTCAAGTTGGACCAAACTGTACATGGTGTGCAAATTTTATTAAAATCGGTTAAGTAGTTTAGGAGTCCATCGCGGACAAACAATGTAACAAGTAATTTATATATATTAAGATAGTAAGAATAACCCTAGTAATTTATGAAGTTGAAATCTTCCTGTCTATGCATGTTAAATAATTTCTGTATAATATCTCTAGGCCAACTTTTACAACTACCATAGAACTAAATAGGTTTAAAAGTTTATTACTATAAAACACTGTTAACTTATTACATATTCTACATACATAATTTATATATAGACAGGCAACACTAACACAGTAAATAGAAAGTCATGACAGCAGCATCTTGTACACTTAGAACTATCAATGATTAAAGAATGCAATCACAAATCAAATTTATTTTGAGTAGTAGTAATTTTTTTTTATAAGATTAGGGTGACAAACGAGCACACAGTACACCAGATGGTAAGTGGTGGCTGCAACCCATAGACATCTACAACAATCCTCAATCACAAATCAAAATGTAGATGCGTTATCACCCATGAGGACTGAGATGGAATGTCTCTTTTCCAGTAAAAATGGTCTCCGGTTCCCTACACTGATTACCCTACACTATTTTATGCTGGTATTCTGTGAGAGTGTGTTCCTTCCCCGGTCGAGCCGAACCCATTCCAGAACCAATATAGCTATACCACATTTGAAAATATTAATACTATTGAATTATAAAATATATAAGATTAAACATCATTAAACACAACATGAGGTTTCTACAGCATCAGTGTTCTCAATCTACTAAGGACAGCAAGCTAATGATGAATGTATATATCATGGCCAAACTGTAGAATTGATCATTACATGAAATGCCAGACTACTTCATGAAACACAATCATATCATGATATGGCCAATTATAATTGGCCATATATATAAATGTAAAAGTTAGTTGATTTGGCTATTATTTGGCCATATTATAAATATAAATACATCCATATCTTTGATGATGATGATAATGATTACGATGATACAGTATGTTGTGGTGCAGCTAAAAAGTGGAATATATTTATACAATATGTAAGTTAAGCATAAAGTGCCATGGACTCAGTTGCACTATCTGAGTGCTAGCCGTAAAAAAATCAAACTGTTTTATGAAATGACAATACAAAGTTTAAACATAAATCTATGAGATAGAACATTTGTTTATATTATTAAACCTATCTTTATTTATAGATGTGGTTAAGTCATATCATAAATACCAACATTGCACAAAATGGTCACTATATAATTTTACACTCTGGCGACAGCATAGGTATATGACTGTATAATGCATGCACCTTAAAACACAAAACTTACCAGAATCTGATTTTTTCTTCTTTGGTATTAATACATATTGCATATCTGCAACACCATCTTCATTCTTGATTTTAACAATTTCATCTGTAGTTGCTTCACACACCTCTCCCAGTATTACAGGCTGAGTTTTAGGGTCTCCATCACCTTTTAACATGTCCACATGAAGAAATTCAATATGAAATCCGACGGTATTTTCAGAAGTGCCTTTGTGGAGCTCATAAACTTCTTTGTGGTTTTGTTGGATATGCTCTAATAACTGTAATGATTTCTCATCTGTTCTTAATAAAGCTTCGCATACATTACACTTATATTTATTATCTGTAACTTTTAAAAAGTAGATAGAAACCCACTCCGGCAACTGATTATCTGCAAGCAAATTAATTTTTAAAGGGTTAAATGGTTATTAGCAAGCACATTTTTACATTTATAACTAGGGCTAAATTTTATATTGATAATATAGAATATTTAACACATTTAAATTAATGATATAAGAAAATTTATTTACATTTTATAATTATACCATAGTACTATGATATACATAAATAACTAAATATAAATTATTAATCTGTACCTACCTAAATTTAAATAATAGTCAAACTCATATAAATCTATGTCAATTTAAGTAATACTTAAAATTTCTGTCTCTTCACTAATAACAATAGAATAAGACAGGTAAAGCGATAATTTATACTTAAGCAAGGGATAATCAAAAATTATAAGTGCAACAAATTACAAAATGTATGAAAATTAAAACTCATTGTTAAAGTGATATATTTATTTGAAATACATTAAATGGTTACAAAAAGAAACAAAGTATATTGTAGGAAAATTTATATTAACAAAATCACTTAAGTTCTAATAATTATTTTCTTTTTTTAAACTAAATAGAAGGAACTGATCTATACATATTATAAAAAGATATAATATAATTACTCAAATTACAGTTTTATTTCTATTCATTGGAATTCAACTATATATCTATATAGCTCAGAACATTAGAGAAGTACTATGAAAATTTTAACATTAACAAACAGCTCTTTTTAAACATTTTACGTGTTAATAATATTAAAAACTACACAAAAGAGATAAAAAGCTCATACATAAAAGATTTTAAAATAACACTAGCAGCCTTGTAAACAATTATATTGTATAATGGATATGCTTTTCAAAGCCCATCTGAAAACATAGGCTTCTTGTGATTATGGAAATCTCTTAACACTTCTACGCCATACGTCTGCATATTAATAACTGATATACAACCAGTCTTCTGTCTATATGAGCAACACCACTGCTCGGCGCCGCACTGCAACCTACTTTTGAACACATAAGTGTATCCTTTAAACAAAATGTGATGTCCTTTCCTTGTAGGCACGCACTGCACTAAATCGTCACCTGAAATATTTAAGTGTAGTTAATCTTTTTCCAATTAAATAATAACACAAGTTTGAAGTGGTTATTAATTCAGAAAACAATTCATATCCTTCTTGTGTTTATTTTTGTCCACTTAATAGTAGAGAGAATGTACACCACAGACATCATTTACTTAAAATATCTATATAACATATGATGAATTATATTCAAAAATGTAAATATTTTTGACAAATTACTAAATAGTACCGAGTACAAAACATTGGAGATAGGAAAACAGAAAAATACATGCACCCAAAGCCTATGACGCACCAAATCTGTCAAATAAAAATGTGACGTTTAAAACGTCACGTTTCAACCACAGAGTAATTATCCTTATTTTTCTAACGGTGCATTCATAAAAACTTATAAAGGATAAATTTATAAACTGTTGCAAAAGGTTTGTATATACTATGAAGCTATTTTTTATGAACTATAACAAAATGCGTGACGCTTTAGGATTCAATTATTTTAAAAATAATTAGTTTGCATGTGGTTTCAAAGTGCACATGATAATTGCAATCAAAATGCCTGAAACTTGTTATTATAACTTTTATGTTAATTTTTGCAATTATACGCTAGGTCAAAAATGTGCATGCCACTCTTATATCTTGTATAAGTTTTAGATAAAATTATAAACTGGTTTTACTATTTTTACGTTAATTAATGAAGAATGACTTTCATTTGACAGCTGTGCCGGGACTGTTGGTATTACACCCATATCATGATTATGTTTACTACCATTCACACTTACAATCTTATCATTTTCTGTATATAATGCTGATTTACAACCGCGATGAGCGAACTTACACCACCATCTTATTTTTTTCCCCTGCGTTCGTTGTTTGTAAAAAGTATATAGGCCGATTTTTATAACAGGGTTTCCTTTTTGCGATACACTAAATATAGGACCTAAAAATACGAAATTATGTGAATAAAAACATATTATATCACTACGCATTATATTACGTTTTACATTTAAGATGGATAAGAAGGTCATATGTATGTGTTCTTACATTAAAAAGAACATGGAAATTATGAAACAAGGGTCTCGATGGTGATATTACAATGTGAAGCATCAACATGTAGAAAAAGAATGATGGCGAATCCCCACATTTTTTGAATTTAAATAATATCTTTGTTATTGTAAAACTATAAAGTTCGTATTCTTGTATAATTTCGTCATAATGTTTGTTAATGGAAGTCAGGAAATGAAGATGGTTCAGTTTAGAGTTTAGAAGATTATGTTTAAGACCTTTAACACTTAATCGGACAATAACATAAACTGGTTAATTTTTAGAGAAGAAAGAACTACGTATTACGTAAACAGAGTTTTTACACCACGTGTCGATGAAGTTTAGAAAAAATAATTTTAGTTAGTCGCTTGTATTAAAATACAGACCTAATGAAGTAGGTGACGTTAAAGAGTCAAGTGACTTGAGTATATTATTATATTAGTAACCTATGAAGTTTTGTTAGTTTTAAAGACTTAATAGTTAGATGCTTTAGTGGTTGCTCTGTATGACCATGTTCTGAACTCAGAACAATAACTATAGCATACTGTTCTGAGCTTGCACAAATAATTAATTCCACAGACAGCAGAAATATCTGAAATTTAATTAAATTATGAAATTAGATAGCAAATTTCACAAAATCTGTGGTGCTGTGGCTAGAGGCCTTCTACTCGTTTTACACTCTAGTCAACTAAAATATTTTTAAGAGCTCTCAAATTAAACATTTCTTTAGAAATTACTAGTTAGTAATTGCAATTTAAATAAAAACACAGATTTTTTAAATTGAACAGATTTATAGCATGATTTCAAAAAAAAACGTATGATTTTATCTATCAATAACTGATAAAATTTATTGTCGCTTGAAAATTCTATGAACAATTGTTTTACCTATGATCTGTCACATGTACGTACTTTGTAAAATCTAAAGCGTTTGATGTATTGTTTTGGTTGAAAGCCTGGTAGCCAAGGCCATAATAAATGAAAAAATAATGCATTACAATAGCCTCCAGAATTTAAACATAGATGGCGTTAGTAGTATTGTGAGCATAAATTTATACACATTTTATAACTCATACTCATCATATATCTGTACATTCTAAATAGAAAAATTATCGATATAGATATAACAAAATAATAAGTCTAGCATTATGCATTATTATGTTAATAACATACATAAATAAAAAAATAGCACACCTAATACAATTTATTTATTAAAGTATTACTTAAGAAACATTTGATGAGATAACACCATAAGTCAAGTAAACAAAGCATCATGACCACAATTTTTTAAAAAGCCTGATAATTTTACTTGAACTATGAAGTTCTCTATTTTATCGTAAAGTGCAATACATTTAGTTTTTTTCGTTATGTATTAAAGGAAAGCAAACATTGTTTATCTAAGGTAGGTACCTACTGAAGGAACATCTTTTAAATCTTAAATTACGGACAACAACGTAACTAATTACTAAATATTAATTTAATAGTATTTCTATAATTTTTAGCTCTTTAAAGGCGTACAGGCTAACGAGATTCACCATCCACCTGTGCATAGCACTGATGTGAATGTGATGTCTCTATTTAATAATCATAATTATTATTATTATTATAAGTACTTGCCGGAAGCTGTGCTTGAAAATGACCGCGGCAGGTACTGGGACTTATTTATTTATAAATGATAGTATATGAAATATATATTTATGATTTCCTTTTATATATTTATTCAGCCCAAGCAGGTGAGAACACTATAAAAGTAAAGTAAAGTTACAGCCTATATACGTACCACAGCTGGGCAGAAACAAACTTGTTTATTCAATGTAGATTATAATCAACACTTATTGAAAGTCACTTTTTTCATTTACCACTGGTTCGCAAAAAAAACCTCTGTCCTGGGAAGAACCAGCAATAAACCCAGCGGGACTATTTTTTTCCAATAATAGCTTACAATCATGTTTACAATTAACAACACAAGACAAATTAGAAATAGCTTGGTAGCGATCACCCTTCCCAGGGGTTATTATCATCCATAAATTCCTTAATATTATAATAACCCTTTTTATACAAACTTAGTTTAATAACATTTTTGAACTTTGTGTATGACAAATTTTGTAGATTTTCTGGGATTTTGTTGTAAAAGCGTATACATCGCTCCAAGAATGAATTACTGACTCGGTGGAGTCGAGTAACTGATACTACTAGCTTCTGCCTGTTCCTAGTATTTACAGAATGAATATCACTTATTTTCGCAAAACTACATTTATTTTTGTGTACGTACATTACATTTTCATATTACTACGTATTGAGAGGCCAGAGTTAATATATTAATTTCCTTAAATATTTGTCTCAGTGACTCTTTTGGTTTTAAATTTTATATTGCTCTAATGGCCCTCTCCTGTAAAATAAATATAATTTCAGTGTCAGTCGCGTGTCCCCATAGCAAAATACCATAAGACATATTGCTATGGGAATAACTAAAGTAAACTATTCTAGCTGTTTCAACACTGGTAAGAGTTCTAATCTTTTTTACAGCATATGTTACAGAACTAAGTCTGCTAGCTAGTTTTGATATATGTGAGAGCCATTGAAGCTTTGCGTCTTGGGTGATTCCAGAAAAAATGGTGGTATCAACAAGACTCAGTTCTTCCCCATTTAAAATTACATGTTTGACATGAGGAGTTACGAATTTCATACATTTAGTTTTAGTTCCATTTAGCATTTTATTAACAATTAAATCAATTGAATAACTCAGCTATAGCATTATTTACTAACTGTCGTTTTAATTTAAAAATTAATGAAGTATCATCAGCAAATAATACTATATCATGCTTATCCTCTACTATGTAAGGTAAGTCATAAATTTAAACAAGAAACAAAATGGGCCGAGAATTGAGCCCTGAGGCACGCCCATTTGTACAATCGACCCGGAAGAACTCATACTATTAATGACAACTTTTTGCGTTCTGTTACTTAAATATGAAATAATTAATTTAAGAGCATCATTTCCTACATCGTAGTAGGCACAGGCCTCCCCTCATTTCTGAGAAGGCATTAGGGCAAACAAGTGTCAGCCGCGTTGCCCCAATACATGTTTGTGAACTTCACATGTCTTCGAAATATTTTTTTTTCTTATTCCTCAGACATGTAGGTTTTCTCACGATGTTTTCCGTCACCGCCGAGCACGTGGTAAACCAGAACATAAAATTGCAATTAACAATTTCATTGGTGCCGGCGGGGGATTTTCGCCTACATTTACGGTGCAAGGGCAAATTTGTCATAGAATAGGTTCACTTTTTCTAGCTGAGAACGAACAGCATAAGTTTTTACAAGTATATTTTATGGGTGACGAAGAAATTGAGGTAGACCGTCGCTGCCAATTTATCCAGGGAGTTGAGAGAGACACAGTGTTCAAAATTCAAAGATTCTTGCATGAACGTAACATTTTAGTCAAAACATTTAAAACTGCTTTAGAAAACCTACCTGAAGAGGATTATAAAGTTGTCATTCACGCAGATCGGACCCCTCGAGGAGAGCATGAAAGGCGCTACAATGCTCAATTTTCTTCACGAGACATTACATACCCATTGATTTATTGCAAAGGACAAGAGGGTTATCATTTTCAAATTCCACTCATTAACCCGGTCACAAAGGAGCCTACTCCGAACAAAAAAGTATCATGTATGGATTTTTATTCGTATCATATGATGTTGCGAGAAAATGATTTTAACCTCTTAGCCCGGTGTAGGTAATTATTTCATCAATTTTTAGTAGACATGTATGTGAAGGTAGAAAGTGAACGTCTCCGTTATATATCTTTAAATCAAAAAAGCTGCGCGTTGAGAATTATATACATCTACAAGATGCAGTTTCTAGCGACGCCAATGTAAACCCCAGAGATTTAGGTAAAATGGTAATTCTGCCCTCATCATTCGTTAACAGTCCCCGCTACCTACATGAGTACACACACAAGACGCATTCGCCTATGTACGAACTTACGGAAGACCTGATCTTTTTGTTACTTTTACTTGCAATCCCACATGGAAAGAAATAACCGAGGGGCTAATGCCGGGCCTAAAAAGTACTGACAGACACGATTTAGTTGCTAGAGTATTTAGATTAAAAGTACAAAAATTAATGTATGTAATTAACAAAGGGAAAATTTTCGGAGAGGTGCAGTGCTTCATGTATTCAATTAAATGGCAAAAAAGAGGATTACCGCATGCCCACATTCTAATATGGCTTAAAGAGAAGT